AGCAAGCTACTTGTTCTGCATTAGTGCTCAGGGACACAGAGTGTATCACCATTTTTTCTATAGAGTCTCTGTGTTTAATTAATAATCCCTAAAGGTGACAGACTCTAGAGCTTGCCTTTTTCTTCTTGCTCACCCTTTTATTTAATTCTTTGATTTTTCCACTGTAATCCCCCCAAACTGCTAAAGTGGAGGAAGTATTCTCTGCCCAGAGCTTGCCTGTTTCTGCCATAGGTCTCTTGGGTTTAATCAATTGTGTGATTGATGTGTGAAACTGTGATTCTCATAAATTGATATTATCTTATATCAGAAGTGGCCTAAGTGAAAAAAGAGCTTGGTTTTCATGGAAACTGTCATCGCATTTTATGCTTCTTCAGGAAGAACAGTCTGAGTTCTGCCTTTCCAACCCTCTCCATGCCATAAGAGATGCTTGTGCAGTTTGCCCTGCTGGTGTGGCCCAGGTGTGCAGCCACAGATGGGCAAGGGCGTGGAGGCAGACCAACTGCATTGCAGAAGGTCTGTTATAAGCAGTGTGTTTCCCTAATCAGATTCTGTTTCACCACAGTATTGGAAACTGTTTTGTGCTGCTCAACATCTTTTTCACTCTGCCTCATAGATGCTGGGGAAGCAAGGACAGTCCTCATGCTGCATCAACGCACAATACAAGCTCAATTAGGCAACCTGCTTCTAGCTACGGCCTCCAAACTCCTGCTTTGGGGCAGGTTATTTCTGTGCCTCGAAAGGGGCAGCTGTGTCACTGTGCCCTTGCTCCGCTTCTGAATGGAGGAGCTGGATTGCCAGCCACATTTGGAGACAGAGCCCTGATTTGGGCTCAGAAGTCTCTTTTCTGCACCATAAGGAGTGCAGAGAGCTGCCAAGTTCCCTATGAGAAAAAAATCAGTGGATGAGAGGTAAAGTCATTTCAGATCACTGTTCTGTCTCAGACATACCCCTCTCTTACAAAATCTTCTGCTTTGATTCACAATCCATGCACTGTGTCTTTGTCTCCCAGTTAAAGATTCAGGCAAGACAGAATGATTACTTTGATTTTTGTGGAAGCTCTTGTCAGACACCACATGGCTGTGTCCTAGTTGCCCCAAATCATTCTGGTTTCCAGCTAGGTTGTGTGAGTTACCTTATGTGCTTTTCAGCAGTTCTGTTCAGGGACCTGCATTTTGGCTGAGTTGGCCTTGAAAAAAATCCTCACTCTTATAAATATTTTGACCTGCTGCTGGGCTATAGAAATCTATTCTTAGAGCAAATGATGCTATGGCAACTGTCCCTGCAATATGACACAGTAGCAAGAATTCTGTCTTCTTTTAATCTGTAGCTCCCAAAATACCTTCTGCACATCCCAAGCCACCTGGCTTTCCCCGCCCTCTTCAGATCCAGGAAAGCAGCTCCTTCCCAATTTATTTTTCTAGTTCAGTCTGAGGCAAAACTGTCTTAAGCCAATTTAAGTAGATCTGAAATAACATACTCAGTCCCAGCTGTCATAACCTATATTGCAGGATATTCCCCTTACTTTTCTATGACACTTTCCCAGTTGCTCTTATGATCTGGTTTCCCCTCAGGACTTCCTAAATAACCCTGTGACATGGGCTTTATCATACCCTATATTCCTCTTTGTATCTCCTACCAAAGGTAAGTTGTCAACTTGAAAACATCTGTTTGCACTTATTTTTTCAATCACTACAACATCTTATTTATTCATCACATTTTTACATACAGCCTTTTCTGATAAGACTTGCCTGTGTTTTATTTATTGATTTATGTCCATTAAAAACTCTAGATTTTTTGGAGCCCACATATTTCAAGAGCTTGCTTTAGTAGGAATGTATCTATGCCCATCCTAAGAGATGGGCTCTTCCTTAAAGAGCTGAAGACCTGGTGTTATAAACATGCTCAGAACTAAACATTACACATTCAGGACTGTTAGCAACAGACCTATTGAAAGTTCTGAAATTTTTCTCCTCTCCTGATCCATGCTTATTATCTACTAATTTCCCAAGTACGCTGTGGGCTTGTACATGGCATCCTGCTAGTAATTGGGAGGTGCAAGTGCTGTTTGCTCGAGTACTGAGCCACCTACAATCTTCACAGCATTTGGTGAATAACTGAGGATTTGTGTGCTCAGTACAGCCCATATGCCATGACTGTCTTCAGGCGGCAATGCAGTGATAGCAACAGTGTGGCTACAGAGAAGTTCTGCAGATAACAGATAAATTCAGATAAAAACAGATAAAAACAGATAAATTCACCCCTGGTGGAAACCCACAGACAAATGACCTGCAGGAGGAAAAGTAGCACACATGGCTGTGGAATGTAAAGGGGTTCTTCCTGCTATCCTGCTTGGGCTGACTTCATTCTGCTACCCTGCCAGGATGCCACTCGTGTGTGTGTGTGTCTGTCTGTGTATGTGTGTGTCTGTGTGTCTGTCTGTGTGTCTATGTGAGTGTGTCTGTGTGTCTGTGTGTGTGTGTGTGTCTGTCTGTGTGTCTATGTGTCTGTGTCTCTGTGTGTGTCTGTGTGTGTCTGTGTCTGTATGTGGGTCCGTGTGTCTGTGTATGTGTGCGTCTGTGTGTCTGTCTGTGTGTCTAT